TTCGGCATCTTGTGCTTACTTCCTTGCGTACGGATGACAGCTGCGTATGGCTTAATTTATTTTCTGGTGCTTTCACTCCCTGAGACAGTTGTTAGCACTGTGTAACTGCCTCGAGGGTGCNGCTAGACGACCCAACCGGGGTCACATAGGAGGGGGGGGTTGGACCCCCTCCTGCGGTTCATGCCTGAGGTATTTTTATCGCGAGAAGGGTACAGCAATCCCTTCCCTCGCGACTTACGAAGTCGATTATGGTTTACTAACAAACGAGCTTTGCAGCGCGTCGCTTTCATCCTAGACCAGGATTTATTTAGTGAGAAAAAAACTCTCCCTGCCGGGACTCGAACCCATGACCTGGCCCTTAGCAGGCTGCGAGGCTATCCACTAGACCACCGGGGCGACCGGTGTTGTGCAACTGCCTCGAGGGTGCTTGACCGTTTTAACACAACGTGGTGCGATCATCCCCCTTGCGCGGAGTGAGGGTTCTCGACCCCGCACAACATGATCTACTCGATCGACCACCATTATGGTAAAAAAAGCGGTGACCTGGTTGCCGAGTTCACGAAGTTTGTTGTTGTTGTTTCTCACGTTAGCTCTATAGTCTAGTCCACAAAAAATGGGGAGCCCGTGGTCTCAAAACCCGGCACATACAACTGGCTTGTTTTACAACGTCGTTGCCAAGCGACGAAAACCCAACCCCGATGGCAAACACCGGGGGGTGGGGAGGGAGGGGTCCAGAAAATCGTGGTAGCATTAAAGCATTCGTTGTAGCGTTCCCACGTCCGCCGCTATAGGCAGACCTTGACCTAGGCCACGCAGAATCCCGCGTCCTCGGAACAGAGCCTATCTTCGCAGGCGCAAGCCAAGTTCACGGTTGTTCCTCCGACGCACGCCCCATGGATCGCCGCGATGTCACGGCTTTTGGAATTTGAAGAAAAGCAGAGGGGGGGGGGGGAGGTGCGGTAGGGGGATCAAATCTACAGTACATTGTGGCGCTTGCTGGTTTGCCTTGAAATGTTGGAGACGATGCCATCAGATCGCGCACTTCCATCCCCGAGACGGAGCACTGACCGCACCCTCTTGTTACAAAAAGCCATGGTGGCCGAGCAGAAGTTGGAATGAATACGAACAAGAAGGCCATTAATAAATTAATTCGTATTTCATTTATTCAAAGGCATCATGTGCTCACAGGGCACACGCACGGAACACACGACGAGCAATCCCCCGCCGCACCACAATAAACAGGCGGAATCGCTGATGATCAGCCTTCTTTCGAAGGAGACACACAAGCCACACCGGCAAGCCACACACAGTTTGGGGCAGGTCAAATATTTTGCAGGAAGGGGGGGGGTGGGATATATTCCGGCCCTCTTTTTTTTTTTGCGACGAGAGAGTTTCAGCAGCAGCAGCAGCGGATACGATACCCCGGTTGTCCATTGGCACAGTTTAGTCACGCAACACACGTACTTGTTGTCTGTCTGGTATGGCTACCACCCTCAGCGGATGCTGGCAGTGGTGGCCGATGCGCCGGGCCAGGCGCTCCGAGCGGGAGACGTCGAGGTAATTGGGAAGTGTGGTCTCTTATGGCGGTCTTCTGAGCTTAACTCTGCTCCTACATGAGAGTATTACTTTTTTCGCCCAAGGGAGCAGCGCACCGACACACACAGCTGGCAGGCCGTAAGTTGAACGTCTCGCGCTCGCTGTTGTTCGCCTTCGTCTTTCTCTCTCTCGCTTGTGTGTTCGTGTTCAGGGGAGTGAGTCGCAAGGTGAAGAGCCGATTCACCACGATAAGGATGCCTGCGCAGGTGTCCTCTGCTGGGCCCGCGGGACGAGGAAGACCCCACTCACCCAGCGACGGCGGCGGCGGAGAGGAGACGAGTTCTGTCTCTTGCGCCGCCCTGGGAGCAGTTGCCGGATTGGAGACAGACATAATTGGCGAATCGTCGGGGGGAGCGATAGGAAGGCATCCATCGCAGCAGAAGGAGGACGGGGATTCACAATCAGCGGCAGCCGTGGCCGTGAAGGTGAGCTTGCGGGATAGGGTTGGGCATAGTAGTAGTGTGGCGCTGCCGCGAGAGCAGCAGGCGACGTGATACGTATGACATCGTTCAAGGAACCAGGGGCAAGCCGTTCTCGCTCATCGCCGTAAACCGTGAAAGGGCGCCGACACACACACACGATGCTTTCCTCGCACCCGCACGTATGCATGCATCACCGCTTCGCCCTCGCCGGCCCTCGTGGTGGGATTTCTGCTGCGTACACTGGAGGACACCTGGAGAACGAGAAACTGCGTGCAGCGTCTGCACCTCGACTATACCACCACCTATCTCTCCGTTTTCTTTGACTTGGCTCTTTCTTGGGTGTGTACTGCTCCCAATCTCCTTGGCTCTGTCTGCCCTGCTCTCCATGGGAGCGTAGGTAAGAAAGGGTGGCCTGTTCGGAGTGTTGCGACGCCCGACTTTCGGTGGCGGGGCGGACGACGACGTGGTCCACGTGCCTGCGGGAGAGATATGCGTGATCTGCATGGAGCCTTTCCAGGCAAACGATGTGCTCGAGGTTCTGCTCTGCCAGCACCTCTACCATCAAAGGTGAAACAAAGAAAAATTGCAGGACAGAAGTTGCGGAGGTTTGTAATACGAAAGGGCGACAGCGACCAGCAGCAGCAGCAGCAGCGCTCTCTCCCGGCATTTTTGTTTGCGTTCCCAGCAGGCAACGGTGGCGGCAGCGGTATTGGGATTTGATGGAAGGGCTATGGGTGAGGCTACCAACGTGATCCCCCGTCAGTTGTTCGCAGGTGGCGCACCCACAAGCAGTTTCTTTTCCCCCGCAAAAACTCAAACTCACCAAGAAAGCAGTTTGCCTCTTTACTGCTGTTCGTATGCATGCGGCTTGTCGTCGAAACTGGAAGGATTTTATGTGCTCCGGTCCACTTTTTTCTTTTTTTCTGAGTATGAGACAACGAATCCATCTCGAAGAAAATACTTTCTTTAGTTGATTTCCGATCCTAATGTTTTGTGCATCAACCATTGGCGTAGTGCCATATCCAACCAGTTCTTAGGTTTCCGCTGAAAGCGGGTTGTGGGAGGTGAGGTCAACAGGTAAAGGCCCGAGTGGCCGAGTGGGGTAGAGCAGCACAGCTTTGTGCGTGGCGTTTTTGAAAATAAACATAGACTGCACACACAAACAATCAATCACTGAGCACATGCCGCTGGATGGAATGGGTGAGTGTATCACACGATGCATTATAGATCAAAATGGTTGGGTCGCAAGCTCTCGAACAATCCATCTCACATCTACCCCGGCGGCTGGTGTGGGGCGTGCTTCTATCTAGGTACCGTACATTAGAAATAGCCCGGGCATGAGCCTGCTCGATATATTTCTGCTCAGGTTGGGTGCAAGTACGTAGTGTAGCTTGCAGATGTCATGTCAGGCGAACGACGGTAGCAGATTCTCACGCTCAATCAACGCCTGGACAATGCTGTGTTTTTTTTCCCGTCTAAACATGTGTCGCGTTCAAATCTGCCCGCGGCGGGCGTACTGCTGTATCGCACGGAGTATATACTTGATCTCTCTCTCTCTCTCAAAGGTTGGAGGTGGAGCACGATTTATTGCATGTCTTCGCCAGCTGCGCTGGAGCCAGGGCGGTAGTGCACATGATTGAGGCAGAATATTCCGTGTACTGCTGTATGCAAGCCTGAGGTGGCCTCACTTCACTTGCTTGCCAATTTTGCACCTGTGCGGTAGCGGCAGGAAATCCGGAGGCAAAGAAGGGTCCTTCGTTGAATGATTTTAGAGTTGATTCTAGGCAACAATTGGTGCCAACGCTCCGTATGCAACGCTCGCCAAATGCTGCCTGATATGCATGTACTGCTGCATTGTTCCATCGGGTGCACGAGCTGGACTTACTTTAGAAGACTAGCGAGCCGCGGAGCGCGAAGCGCGACTAGCTGTGATTGTCCGTCCGTCCGAGGAGGGAAAAACACGCTTGATCTACCAGGGGTCCCAAGTTTCTAATAGCAACCGCCTGAATTTTGCCTCCTTGTATACCAGCACGAGGTCTATAGAGCACCGATTGACGATCGACTGGCTTGTGACGAAGTAGAAAAAAAGGGCGCTCTTCACCACACCGATTTGGTCGTGCTCCGACAGCAAATGGTCGTGCTTCACCGGTATTTGTACCCAAAAACCAAGTAGGAGATACTCACCGCCGTCCCCGGGAGTTGTCAAGGTGATCGAGGACTAAAAGGTCGGAGGTCTCCCACAAACACGCACGCAAATCACGCAGTTGGAACAGAGGAAGCACTCAGCCAAACACGCGACACGGCTTGGCCGGGCAAGACAGCACTGGCGGGGGACGGGAGTCATGCACGTAGCTCCTGCCGGGACGTTTCGGAATATCGTTTTCATATCCACACAAGCTGGAAATGCGCACACTTCTTGGGGTGGAAGGGGTTATTGTGGTTGGCAGCAGGCAAATGTTGTTGTTGGGCTGGGAAATAAATGTAGATGGCCAAGCTCGGACAAACAAAGCGCACACTCACTCGTTCGTGTGTAGTATCACCAGACTCGCAGCGAAAAAAAATTAAAAGAAACAATGCTTGGAGATGTTGGATGGGCCACTGAAAGAAAAAATAGAAGTCTTACCACTTCACGAAGGCGTGCGTGTCACCACCATCCAGTTAATTTCGTGTCACTTGAACGAAAAGATAATACATACATCCGGTACTTTACACTACCTCCTTCCCCCTCGGCCTGCTCCCCGGCCGGGGCCAAAATCGACCTAGTGTGTCCCTCGCGGGCGAACCAGGCCACAACAGATAGTAGGCCGGTGGTGTCGCAAGGTGTAACTCACCGCCGCGGTGGCTCAGCGTGGCGGTGAGGATGCACAGACGGTGGTAGTGGCGAGAGGTGTGTATGAACACTGTTCCCGCGGCAGTAGTGCAAAGCAGCAAACTGCACCTGGCAACCACCGTCGCGGAAAGCGTGGCCCACGAAGCTGGAGGATTAGAGAGATTCGTAAACACCACGTCAGTAAGCACCGCTCGCGGGAGAAGGGAGACAACCGCGGGCACCGCGGGGAGGGAGTGCTGCACCCTCCTCGTCAAAATACCACAGGCAAGAACCGAGCTCTGCAGTGATGGATTGATGCGAGGAAACTCGCCGCTCGGAAAAGACGGAAGAAAGCACACCCGCAACGCGAGGTGGACCAAGAGAGACACGAGACCGCAGCGGCCGTCAAGGCGGCTGCGAAGAAGAAGGCACGAGAGGGCGACCTATCGTTCGGCACATTCAACGTACGCACGCTCGCCTACAGCGGTAGCAACCCCATCGGTCACAACGTGATGAAGGTCATGCAGAATTGTTCCGCGACCGGCTGTGATGTGGTAGGACTTCAGGAGACCCGACGAGAGGGGCAAGGTTCAATTGCACACGACGGGTACGTGATCATCTGGAGTGGCGCCCGTGCTGGCACCAAGGAC